TTTGCCACCTTTGTCCTTGAATCAATCAGTACGCATAAAATAGGAAAAAACTTGGAAACGCGGGGAAAATAGTAAAAGTACATAGTGACCCGTCCTATCACATACAACTTGCTGACCGCAGCATATATCGGAGAAAATCGGTCAGTATTACGCAAAAGTCCAGAAGACACAACCGATATTGAATCATTTTCATTTGCGCAAGTCTTATATCATGATAAAAAAATCTAGTAACCCTCAATTACCTCTCGAGGAAATAACTCATCTCAGGAACAAAGTGACCCGCCGATGAACTCGCGTGCTAAGAACAAGGGCGTGGCAATCCGAAGTATGATAATAATGAATGGTTAGATAATAACAATGAGTTTACAGTATTTTGTAATCACAGTAATATATACCGTGACTATCTGAAAAAAAAAAGAACTACACTATGTCACGTAGAGAAAATTAATAAACAGCTTCAAGTTCATATTATTGAAATTAGCTATGAATATTATTTCTTAAGCATGCATTATTATTAATAAAATTAATGATTTAAAAATAAAAGAAGGGAGATGTTCTATATTGATATATTATATATTTTAAACAGACTTTAGTTACTGATAAGCTCCGCCTCCATAGCATGCTACATGTAAACATCACCTGCTGTATTTTAAATCTTGGAATATTTAAGACGTACTCTTGTTGTCGCTTCTAGTTTCAAATTATACAATAGTATATTTTAACTGGACATCTCATTTGAGATATAATATTCTTGATAATATACTTGTCACTAAAACAAACATACAACAACACTCAAAAGGTTGTATAAACAATGTGTAAGACGTGTTTTGAGGTGTTTTGCCACTTGTAGGATGAGTTATAAGAGACATATATTACATGCTGAACCTTCAAAAACACGCACTTTTCCCCTGTCGCATCGTTTTCTAATGTTTTTCTTAAAATCTTTCACTTACATGTCAGCCCCCAACTAACTTTTGTATACGCCCTTATATAAAGGGGACATAACTTTGTTTACTCCACGTGCAAAAAATAGCGGGACCATCCGGAAAATAACGGGATGTACCGACAAAGCGACACCTGCTGTCATAATATGAAAACAAAATATTGCAAAACTCGCAGTCGCAATTATGCTTACTGTCAACTGCTTAGTGCGTACTGTAACATGCGACTATAATATCGCTATCGTTGTCATCTTCGTTGTCGATGCGTAGTGATCATGTATTGCATTATAGTTGTAATCAGTGAATATATTGAAGCATATGAATGCTAAGACACATCGAATTCGCAAAGTATTGATCAAAATCAATTATTAATTGTCAAATAGTGTCGACAATGTAAGTGGCAGATTTATAACAAATTAAAGGTACCTTGCCATTTTACATATATAAGCAAAGAAGGTTCTTTTAAACACCGAACATAATACGCTGTCCTAAATAAAAGATGAAAATAAACATATAGCATATCAAAATATGTTAGTTTGATAGTTCAGAAAGGAACACATCAAGTTGCAATTACATAATAGTGCATAAAGTAATCATAATGCAAGATTGTATTTGGCAAAACGTAGGTTCCCATTGTCATAAAGAAGTATGGAAGCAAGCATAATGTAAGTCCCAATATCATCAAGCAAGATGGAATAAATGTGCTAATTCTGTTCCATACAAAATGTTTAAAAGAGACTCCTAAAGATTTGGAAGCCGGAACTAACTTCGCCCGTGTAGTTGTGGTAAATCTATATAATATATCAAGATTTGTTTTATCATTGGTGGATTATAAACAGCAAAAGTTATTATACATTCTTTAATTTATCTAACAAAAGACAGCAACATGTAGACACAGACGCTTGTGGTTTGGAGCTCAAAACGCCTTTAAAATCCAAATAAAATGCATATTTGTCAATCCCAGGACATGTACTGATCATATATATCAAAAAATCTTAATATATGCCGTTTTGAAAAAAAATCATATTTCAACAACTATAATAATACACAAGATAAAAATGTTCGCCGGAAAAAATCCGCACCCCTACCGTCATAATCACCATGTATTTTAATCCATTTCCAATATTTTTCACATAATCCTTTGGTCTATTCGACACAGAAATATAATTCTTCACGATGATGGTCAATTTTAAACTTCAACGGTAATATAAACAACGCCACAGCCGAAATAAACATCAATATTATCGCCGTTTTTTTTCCAACGACAAATCTTTCGATAAATTCAATGGACCAGACGGCTATGAACGAAGCTATCCGATTATGTGGTTCCCAAACTTAAAAGCGCTGCGCATTTTTGCACACGGCAAAAAGCTGGGGTCACATAATCGGATAGCTTCGTTCATAGCCGTCTGGTCCATTGAATTTATCGAAAGATTTTGTCGTTGGAAAAAAACAGCGATAATATTGATGTTTATTTCGGCTGTTGCGTTGTTTATATTACCGTTGAAGTTTAAAATTGACCATCATCGTGAAGAATTATATCTTCTGTGTCGATAGACCAAAGGATTATGTGAAAATATTGGAAATGGATTAAAATACATGGTGATTATGACGGTAGGGGTGCGGATTTTTTCCGGCGAACATTTTTATCTTGTGTATTATTATAGTTGTTGAAATATGATTTTTTTTCAAAACGGCATATATTAAGATTTTTTGATATATATGATCAGTACATGTCCTGGGATTGACAAATATGCATTTTATTTGGATTTTAAAGGCGTTTTGAGCTCCAAACCACAAGCGTCTGTGCATGTAGAAACGAAAGTAAACCTTTTAAACAAACTAACCTTTCATTTATCCATTAATTCCTTGTTCAATTACATCTACGCATATTCAAAAAGATTTTGTCTTTTTGCTGACATTAAGTCACGTGATTGACAACTTGTAATACCCGTATTATCTATCTGACTGAATATTTGGCACAAACAGATAAAGCCAAACAGATTTAGATGTGTATTCAAGTTTTAAAATACTTTAATTGTTTAAGTTTTTTACGCATGATTTAAATGACATTGAAATATAATAGAAGTCACCGTCGATATGTATGGAGCGCCATTCAAATATTTGAAAAGGTATATAAATTCAGATATTTAAGGTTTCCTAATACATGTATATTTAAAGTGCGCAAAATTTGGAATAGATTAGTCACACAGGTCCATTATTTGTATTTTTCAAACCTTTCAATATTTGTTGTCATTATACATGTCGTTTCCAAAAAGGGGGCAAATTGCCTTAATTTTAACCATCTTTTTACTTCTTTTGCTTTTAAGCACTTATTAGTGTTAAATACGAATACGAAAATTTTATTCAGCATTAAACATATTCAGACAATGTTTATAGCCTATACAAAATCTATTGTACGGTGTTATAAGGATTTAATATTTTGCAACTTTGTTTACATTTTGCTAATTCTATGACAATAATTATTATTTCATGCTCGAATTCACCGCTACTTTATTTAAATGATACACATCTAACGTGATTAAACACAATTATTTAAATATTGTAAAACTCATGTTTGCCGTTTCTACAGAAGAAAAAAATATTCGTTTCTTAAAATTTCGAGGGCTCTTTTATTCAATTATTGATATTCAAAAAATATTTAAATAGCGCAATACATGAATTTAAGACCTCTACAATTCATCTGAAGATATCAAAATTTGATGCGTTTTATTAAGAATTAATGGACGACATAGTAGGGAAGGTCTTAATCGGCGCAAAAAAAATGAATAATGGCCAACAGCCCTAGGACATTATTCATTTAAGAGCCGATTATCACCGTCTGATCCATCTTTGAATACACTTGACAGATCTAATAGTTGCATTTTCAAAAAACAAACAAAAAAACATACTTTGATATTTCTTTCGTTGAAATTCAAGTTTCTGTAAATTTATACTGCACTGTACAGTAACTTCTATAGACTTGCTCCCCTTATGTGTATACAAAGTAGGGCCTACACTAGATTCAAGGGGGAAATTTTATTTTCATTTTCTCGGAATAAATTGGTCGTATTTTGTCGTTCAAATTTCAATAAATCTGTATTTCTACAAACTACGCTTAAGTTCTCATCATAAAATCCAGCGACTCGTCCTTAAAATCTACTTTCTATTTTACAACTAGCTGTTCAACGTCACGTAATACATGTATGTGACGTTATTGTTTCATTTTCTGCAATTACTTGTATTCAGCGGGTCGATTATGATTATGAGTTTTTGGCCCAGGCCCTTAAACTCATAATCCGTCAAGTGACACTCATGGTAGGCAATTTTGTTACTATATATTGTAATTACCAGAAGTAAGAAAAGTTTTATTTTTCAGCTCATAAGACACTATTTTGCCCAGGGCTTGATTTTATATTTCCCTTAATACATGCCAGATATGAAACATTAACAAGTAAATGTATTAAGAAAAAAGTTAGAATTTTATGTACTTTATGTAAAAGAATCTTTCCTGCAGATGACTGTTTTATCAGCCGTGGGCTGCAAGCCATTTGTTTTGAATAACTTGTTCCGGTAAGGTGGTTTCCTGTTTCCAATTGTTAGTGCATGATTGAACAGGAAGCCAGCTGCAATCGTGCCAATCGCAACTTTTCGGCCTTTTCCGTCACTCTTCGGATTAATGATAATAGCCGATGTAGTTCCGATTGCAATCGTGACAATTCGGGCGATTCCGTCATACTGCGGAACCAGACGAAGTAATATTACGGAAATATAAGCTATTTTAGTTATTTCGGTAATCCCAGTTTGTTTATATAAATGGGATTTCTATTTTTACTTGATTTATCGGTTTAAACCGTAATAAATTATAAACGAAATTGTTCCGTTTCAATTGTTTTTCAAGACGCAAAAGTTTGTTTCTTTCATAATTGTTTTTTTTTGTCTGTATTAGTTTTATATAATAGAGAATGGTGTCTGTAGTAGTATTCCGTCTTCAAAGGGTGGTACTGCTTACCAAATCACGCATGATCGAGTTATATTTAGATCTACTGAACGCAATAGAGTTACTCCGGAACTACGTCATTATGGGTTTTTCCCAATATCAAATCACGTGACCCGGTACAAACAAACCGCAGCCATATTGCTAAACTTTTGACGGCGCGGTTGATTCAAGTGTTAATAAACTGTAGCTCTATGGATAAATTTAAGTCAAACTCCGTAACAGACCTCCAAAAGTACTTAAGACAGCGAGGCGTTACATATGCTAACACTAGAAAAGCCGAATTGGTCGACCTGTGCAGATATGCAGCAGAGCTGAACATTGAGGTTGACCCGGACGGGCTGGTGGAGGACAGAAGTGAGGTGCTGGATGCCAAACTATGTGTGCATGGAAATACATTAGTTAATCCACAACTAATAGCAGGCACTTATGACCTTTCCAAAATTCCTCGTGTGTCTATATTTGATATCTACAACTATCTACTGGGGTACGACGAATTCACTCACAGTACGCTACGAGATTACCACAAGCTTGAGGGGTACACGATGTTCAGGGACGGATATGTCATTGATCTGACCTCAGCATCGTATGATTCTCCAGGTAATATTTATCATCTTTAAACTATTTAAAGTTCCATTGAGTAGTATTGAGTCCTGGAATGATTATATTTTATGTAAAGTGCACATACATGTGTCAATATTTGAAATGATTTTATGTACTTTTGCATGCTACTGGATTCTTTTAAAAATAGCCTGTGATTGCTATGCTCATTAAATATTACCCCTCTTTAAATTTCAGACTATGTAGCCCTAAAAGGACAAGTCAGACCCAGAGTGAAGGACAAGGACCCTCTCACTAAACGCAAATACTACCAGTGTTGGCTTGTTATTACATCAGAAGGGTGCATTCATTCAGCATTCTGGGGTACGTTACGATACCGAAATCAACTTGATTTCGGTAAAGTTACCGAAATCAACTTTTCATTACCGAAATCAACTCGTAAAAACCAAACTAGTTAAAATATTGCTATTATTTCTTCATTATTTGATGAAAAATAATGAAATAGACTTTCAGTTAAAAAATCTATTGAAAATATTTTATTTTAATGATGTTATTAACAAAAATGTAATTATTGAGTTACTTCCCTTTGTTCTCAACAGTTTAGCATTACCGAAATCAACTTTTCATTACCGAAATCAACTCGTAAAACACAAACTAGTTAAAATATTGCTAATATTTCTTCATTATTTGATGGAAATTAGTAAAATAGACTTTCAGTTAAAAAATCTATTGGAAATATTTTATTTTAATGATGTTATTAACAAAAATGTAATTATTAAGTTACTTCCCTTTGTTCTCAACAGTTTAGCATTACCGAAATCAGCTGTGAAGTTTAAATGATTTATATAAAATACATGTATAATACATATATATTTATTATTTAAGGTATTATGTTTTTGAAATTAAAGAAAACCTACTGATGAGAGCGTTCAGTTGCAAATGAATAGATATCGCGTGTGATATCTGTTCAGTGCATCCAGGCCACACCACGGGGAGGCGCTCTCTTCATGGCCCATCTTTTTTTTCTTTTCTTTTTTTTTTCTTTTTTTTTTTCTTTTTTTTTTTTTTTTTTTTTTTTCTAAGTTCTTCTGTAATCAATTAATTAATTTTCTTTTCATTTTTGTAAAATTTAATATCTATTTTTTTATTTGTTTTGTTTTTTTTCTAATTTTTTTTATATACATCTTTTTTTTCATATGCATCTTTTACATAATAATGTACGTTTTCATCGTTTTCATAACAATAATACTTTTTACATACATTCTACCACTAGAAGATGGATTTTGTAATTCTTATGTTACTTTCCTGTTATAATTAAATAGCTAAAAGTTTCCCTGTCAGTCTTTTATAAAAATATATAATTGTGGTTTATTTTTTATTATTATTATCTTTTTTTGTTTTTTTTCTGGGAGTTGCTGCAAGTAAAGTATTCCTAGATTTTGGCTTTCTTTGGCAGGCTTGTGGTTTTGATATTGACCTTGCGCTTTCTGGCGCCGGGCTTTTTACCATTGGTGCGTGGTGCTACCACTGTAGATTTCCCATCAGAGGATTTGACCAGTTTGGAGCAGTTGACCTTAAATTGCCTAAATCTCTTAAAGAGATTTTGGCGCTGGGATGGGGTCATCGAAAGCCACTGTGATTTTGACGTTTGAAATTGAGAGTGGCTATCAGCCAGTCGGAACTCACCAGTGCCAATGAGTGCCGCTCTCAATTCCGATAATTGACCTTCTACCAGGGACTGGGCGGTTTCAACAAATGATGTCATTTGACATCATCATCAATATCATCACCACCAACCACAACATCATCATCAATATCATCATCATCACCAACTTCATCATCATCATCACCCACATCATCATCATCATCATCATCACCACCAACAACAACATCATTATCAACAATATCTACATCACAATCATCATCATTATCAACAACATCTACATCACAATCATCATCAACACAGCTTGTTACATTATCATCTTCACATATATCAACATCATCAACTTCATTTCTAAATGCATCAATGTTTATGTCATCATCACCGTCATCAAGATCAATTTCAACAGACTGGTTTACCATCATCAATTTTGAAACAAGTGGTACAAAGTGGTTAACTTTAAAGTGTGTTGCACTGTGCGGCCCAGTTGATGTCCACATGATTTCAGGCAGTTCTGTGTCCGAATAAGACTCATTTACTGATCTCCCAGTCACAACCCCCGTAAAGGCATTCGAAAACTCAGGGTTGCGAAGTGGAGGGTAAAATGAACGTATAGGGACTCCCAATACAGAACTGAGTGCAACCATGTGAGCCATCTCTGAGTACGCACCTAAAGTCAATGCGTCACATAACAACTTATTGACATCTGAACAAATAACAAATACATTTTTCAACATTTTGCAGGGTTCGACACTTACTGTTTTAACAAGGGATCCCATAGGAATCTCTGAGATTTAATTCAGGGATTCCTCCTAAATGTCAGGGATTCCTCAGATCAAAATAGTAAAATATGAAGGCGAAGAATAACAAGGGAGTGCAGCAATCCGACTTCAAATTCTTTTTTTAAAGACCACATACATGATATACTGCCTTGTTTCAGATGCAGAAAATGTAGTTTATGAGCCCTTTGTTTTTTTTTGTTTGCTTGGATTTTTACGGCATGTCAACACATAACTGGCCATATGAGCCCTTTGGAAATATTGCTGTTTAAAAGTTTTTTAAAGTGTTTCAAAGTGTTTACTTTACTAGTATATATATAATTGGACTGCTAAGATAAATTAAAACATAAATACATTTTTTACATGTACGTAAACAGAATAACATTAAGCTCACCCACTGAACAAGAGTTCGATTTGAAAATAAAACCTGTTTTCTCCCTGGGTTTGATAATTGTGAACCAGTTTCTGTAAATGAAGGTATAATGCAAGTGACTGGGCAATGGGACTTAGGGTTTGAACTTTTGAAGTTAAGTAGGAACTGGGGAAACATTTTCCCAGATAGCCTAGGGTTCACTGAAATAGAGCCAACATATGATTATCATCTGTAGATCTTTAAAAACTTACAGGTAATGATTAAGCTCCATATTCCAGTAAATTCTGGTATGGATAACTTTTGGAAAATATTTACTTTCATGTCATTTAAAAAGAAATGTTTAATTATGATCACTTATTTGCGATATATAATGAAAACTATTTTGGCTAAAGAAACATTCTTGAATAATTTTATATCATGCATTGACTTCATAATATTAAGTTGTGAAAATTCAAGAAAGAAATATAATTATCGTAACGCCGATCTGCACATATTTGAAGTACACACCGCTCGTGTAATAATTATACGATAATTATATTTCTTTCTTGAATTTTCACAACTTAATATTATGAAGTCAATGCATGATATAAAATTATTCAAGAATGTTTCTTTAGCCAAAATAGTTTTCATTATATATCGCAAATGAGTTGATAGCCATCACTACAAAGGAAATCTAGCGTACATGATTTAAGAGCGTAGATTTTACCGACGGGATTTTTCTTTTCTTTCTTGAACATTGCAGTTGTGCCAGTCTTTATTAACACTTTTCTTGGATATTTGTGATTCAATGATATTAATTCAGAAAATTTCAAAAATTTACACAGCAATTTTTTAGGGATCCCAACGGAATCCCCAGCTAGGAATCACAGAGATTCCTCCAGACTTTTTGGGATCCTCGGAATCCCGGGATCCCGTTAATGTCGAACCCTGTTTTGTGTTTCGTTTTATCCTTGTTGTAGAATGTTCTGTTCAATGCAATTTCAATAGCTACTAATAATCGTAACAACACATGATGTCCTTCGTGTGAGAAACAGGCCAATGACACGGCCCTGTAAAGACAATTACCATCTCCAACAGTTCTTAAAGGTACTAATGTTTCGCATAGTGCAGGGCAGAAAAGTTTGAGAACAGATATGGAATTGTTATCAACATGACTTTCTTCAAAAGCGAAGGCTGTATCAGCATTCAATGGCCTCTGTTGAGGTAAGTTGGCATGGTAAGTATCCAGCAACTTCTGTTCAGACTTGGCTTGTGAACTAAGTAACTTCATTGATTTTGAATCCAATGCATGCTTTAATCTGCAAAATTAAAATTACCTACTGTTCATTTTCTTGTCAGTACCATAACTTATTGTGCATTATTATTTGCGCGCGTAGAACTGAATTAGATAAATAAATAAATAAATAAATAAATAAATAAATAAATAAATAAATAAATAAATAAATAAATAAATGAATTAATGAATGAATGAATGATTGAAAGAACGAACGAATGAATGAAAAAATTAATGAATTAATAATATGCTTTGTTTATTTTCTTGTCAGTACCATAACTTATTGTACATTATTATATGCGCGCGTAGAACTGAATTATATAAATAAATAAATAAATGAATAAATGAATGAATGAATGAATGAATGAATGAATGAATGAATGAATGAATGAATGAATGAATGAACGAACGAATGAATGAAAAAATTAATGAATTAATAATATGCTTGTACATAATCATTTGCCATCGCAGAATTGTTTTAAATAAATAAATAAATACTAAACGTGCGCTCATGCTTATACACGTGCTATAGTTTCAATATCTCAATATACGGATCAATAAAGTGTCAACTTATACATTTGATTATAAAAGACCAATGACGCGTGTAAAGCATTCATAGAGAATTAATTACGGTAAGATGTTGGAGGAAACAACACATAAATGTTATTCGGGCCTATAGTCGATATTTATAAGGAACAGAACATATCTTGAAGATCTGAATAATTTTTCATTTTGCCATAACTACTGAAGAGTATTCAGACCCCATTATATATATCTTTAGAAAATTGACAAGTTATATGATATCTAAAATAGATCTTGCAGAGTTTTATCTGTTATTATACACCATAAATCACACATATGCATTGTTTCTTCGATATTTGGAAATTTCAGAGAACAGAATTTCAAGATCAATATGAACTATATATATAACTTTTAACTTTTAAAAACACATTAAAAACTATGTCAGTATTCTCTTCCGTACATAACTCCTTTCAATGTGATAATAAAGTTCGCATAAACAAAAATAACACAGTCATTAGGCTATAATGTACAACAATTCATTACAAGACATTAGCACAAGCACAAGCACGTGATTGTCGTGCACAACAAAATCACAACAAAATCGTATTTTTAAAAAGCTATGATCGGACTATGATGGAAAATATAATACTGTGTAATGTAAACAAATTATGTATGTAAAGTAACAAATTATTACAAGACATTAGCACAAGCACGTGAGTGTCGTGCATAACAATTTTCTGAAGAAAAAATATCCGGACGTTTACGATTTTCTATTATAAATTTGAATACAGATATATCATTTGACTGCTCTAAATATTTTCCATAAACTGTATAATGTATCAAGCAGTAAAATTGGAAATTTATTATAATATTTTTATATTCTAGTCATTTATTTAAATGTTTATTACGAAATAAACCGATGGTTTTCACTATAATCTTTCACATACATTGTATGTCAACTGTACCTCCTGCCTTAATTACTTCACACCTTACGTTAATACAGTAATACACAACATGTCATATCGTACATTAAATTTGTCAGTATAAAATGTTCAATTTTTCCATCATATAAATGTATATCAGTCATTCCATAAATTAATGCTGTTTACAGATATGAAATTTAAAATGATTATAAATCGATCAATATAAAAAACGCTTTGTCAATAAGTAGAATATGTATTTATTAATACATTATAAAGTATTAGGGACATCAAAAAATTGCATACATTTTTGGAACAACTAATAACTGATATTGGTAATAATATTATCAAAGCACCTTGTCTCATATTACGTAATTTTTCTACGGAAACGTATAGCGACCATCCATACATGTTAATAAAAACAGATCGTTTGACATTTTATTTAATATAATTTCATATTTTTACCAGCTTACTATATCTGATTTTATACTATATAACTAAAAAAAAAAAATAAAATTGATATATATTACATATGGCTGGTTGCTATAGGTCATATAATATTAAACTGTAATGAACTTTTTGTCTTAATGGAGACAAGCAGCTTTAATTTCATGTAAAACACATATGAAATAAAAATGACTTACCGAGCCAAAGCTGCACTGTAGTTGTAGTGTCCATTGCTGAATGCACACTTTGTGCACGCAAATTTCAAGCACTGCACAGACCATGAGTGAAAATCTACTTTTGTTAAGTCACAACAGGTACGATGTACCCAATGCTTGCACGAGCTACACCATATGGTGTCACTTACACAATCCTTAGCACAAATTGAGCACGGGTATTGTATACCCATTATTCTTTTTTTTATTTTTCTAATATTTCCGTAACCAGTTAGGTTTCACTTATAAATTCAGATAATGAAATTATTAACTAACACTTATTTCATATATAATAATCCAATATAAATCCAATATACTTTATCAATATATTTCAAATATATTTCAAATATAATCCGTATTGAAGTGCACAAACAAACAAATTTGCAAATGCTAAATTATAACACCAGAATAATAATATTCAAGATATAATACTTAAAGACAAAATACGATGGCTATATATACATGATGGCAATGTAACAAGTTAGAATAATTATGTCTAATTATGTTGTTTGGATACTTTAAAGTTTCCATGCGCCGATGTACATTAAAGGATTGCGGTTAACGAGTATGTAATGTCAACTAGCACCTCCATTGTCCATGCACGTGTATGTTTGCTCTTTACAGTAAAGGTGTTATGATTACATGATTAATGGCAACCGCTTCGTCTTTTTCTTTTAATCAAACCATAATCATTGGATTTAAATTAAACACTGTGATAATTTTTCAATCAACTTTTTTAATGTTGATCCAAATTAGGCGGATAACTTCAAACAAAGTTTTGTTTAATCTTGTATTTCGAAATCATTAAGAAACATCAAAGAGATGCTACGTACGCTGCTATGTTATCTGACTAAAGGGAAAATTTAAACATTGAAACTAAGCGATATGAATTCAAAGTTTAAAACTCACTCAACTAACTTTTCTCATAGACTTAATTCTGAAATTCATGCAAATCATTCAGGGGTTATTCTCATCTTTGAAATGAATCTGATTTGATTTCGGTAATGCAACACATTATTAACAGGGGAAGTAATCATGATATATTATAATATACATATCCGTCTATAACATCATCATTTTTTATAATAAAATATTATTTTCCTTTGCTTATGGTTCAGTTTGAATGATTTTATATTAATTAATTAAACAAGATCTATGAAAATGTTTGTTTTAACTTTTACAAGCCGATTTCGGTATGGTAACATATATTTCGGTTCGTGACAATCAGGGAAATAATCTTGATATTTATATATTTGTTTCTAATTTCATAATTATTAATTAGTTCAAACTGATTTTTTGCATGAAAGTCAAACTAAACCTATTGTAATAGATTACAATGAAAAAAATATAATAAAACGCTTAATTGTGACTTAATTTACAAGTCGATTTCGGTATTGTAACATATATTTCGGTTCGTGAGAAATCGGGGAATAATCTTGATATTTAGTTATATGATCCTAATTTCATAATTATCCATTATTTTAAACTGATTTTTTGCATGTAAGTCCAAATTAACCTATTGTAATATATTATAATGAAAAAAAAATAATAAAACGCTTAATTGTGATTTTATAAGTTGATTTCGGTAATGAAAAGTTGATTTCGGTAACTTTACCGAAATCAAGTTGATTTCGGTATCGTAACGTACCGAGCATACTGTACATGTAAAGGAGGGTGAGTATTAAGTGATATTCATTTGTGTACAGTATTGTTATATATCAATACCTACTACTAGTAGTATTGTTATTCCTAGTCTTAATGCCATGTGCAAGAATAATCATTTTCATATTAAATCATTTGTCTAGTATAATCAGTGTCTTTAATAAAAGGATCTGCATGTGCTGACTCAGTCCCACACCAATGTTTTTAGGTTTTGTAAACTCCATTGACAAATTCAAGTTCACTAATGTATGTTTACAGGATAGATGGCAGCTGTAGACATGTAGTAGCCACACTGTTTGAGGTCAATGACTTCTTGAATGATGAATCAAAGACCACCTGTACATCTAAACCCTGCACATGGAAAAGGAGAGCCTGTGAAGCAGACAAATTATCCCAGCCTATTCCTGCTGCTGACCTAGATACATCTGTATTATCTTCATCAAGGTAAAACCTATTAAATGAACAACCTCTAAATAGATGATAGTTTACTTGAATTCATTATTAGTCTTTCATTAAGACATTTCTTTAATGTATTTATATGATTTATTTTGTATGAATGTCATCACATTTATTCATTTCATTTTTTCATCTTGTAATTCATTAATATACTGGTTTTCTAAATACTAGTAAATAGTATTATTATCATTCGCAAAATAAACATTTCTATTTTCAGCTGCCAGACAACAAGACCAAACTATTGTCCTTTGGCTGAGGATGTTCCTAAACCAGATCCAGATGTGTTTTTGAAGCAGTTACAGACATTGTGTCCAAATGCATGCCTAGTAAAATCTGTTTTTAAAACAACAGCTGCCTTAATTGCTCAGCCTGCTCTAACAGTAATAACACCAATGCAAAAGTTAGCATCATTTGTTTCTTCACATACATGTATTACTGATACTTGCTCATGTGCTACCATATTTTTGTATTATCATTTACCTTACACTCCTGAGCAATGTTCAGAAAATTGAAGAAATAACCAGAGGTCAATGTAAAATAACAAACTGGGCATGTTTTAAGAAAAGGCATTCTAACCTCCTCGACTTTTCACCAGATTTGTTGTTCTACTAATATTACTAAGACCGCACAAAGTTTGATCAAGCCTGGTTAGATGAAT